ACACTATGCATGGAGGAATAAAGAAGTCAGCTTTTGCAGAAGATTACCTCCAAGCCATTGAGAATAAATTTAAAGCATCAGAGAAGGCTGAGATTGCTTAATATATGTCCTTCTTAACTTCCTTCAAGTTTGAAGGTGGAAGTTTGATCATAGATCACATTATGAAAATGACTGATGCAGCTGAGAAACTTAACTCTATGGAAGTTAACATTGGAGAAAAACTTATGTTCATGATACTCCAAGCACTGAAGCATAAATTCAGTCAACTCAAGGTGTCCTACAACACTCAAGACAAGACTTGGACTGTGGATGAACTCATTGCTCAATGTGTGCAAGAATAGAACAGACAGAAACAAGAGAAGGGGAATGAGCCTGAAACTGTCAATTTTGTCTAACTTGCCAAAGGGAAAAGGAAGTCAAATGTTGGTAAAACTTCTAAATCCCAACCTTATGATAAATTTGTTGTGCCTGCTAAAAGTTTCAATTCCTCTAAGTCTAACAAATTTAAGGTGAAAACTAAAAGTGTTGAAAAAGTTAGATGTCATCATTGCAAAACTAAGAGTCACTATAGAAAAGATTGTGAAATATTCAAAGATTGGCTGAGATCTAAGGGTATAACTGATATCTATGTCTGTGAGGAGACAAATCTTGTTGACATTCCCACAAACTCTTGGTGGTTTGATACTGGTGCATTTGTGCATGTCACTAATTCTTTACATGGTTGTATAGAACAAAAGAAGGCAAACAGTTTTAATGTTTTCGTTGGAGAAGGAACCAAAGTGTCTGTTGAGTCCATAGATACTATCAAATTGAAAATTGACACTTGGTTTACAATGTAACTAAATGATGTGTTATATGTGCCCAAAATGAGGACGAATTTGGTTTATGCATCAAAGCTAGTTAAATAAGGCTATGTTTTTATAGGAGATGATGAGTGTGTCAAGTTTTTTAAAAGGGGATCCTTGCATAGAAAAGCATTTTTGCATGACCATCTTTGGAAAATACAATTGAATGTAGATTTTGAAAACCTGTATGTTTTGAATACTACAACTAAAAGTATGCATGCTTCTGACCATTCCTTCATACTTTGGCACAAGAGATTAGGACACATTTCAAAAGAAAGAGTTTTTCAGTTATCGAAATTGAATTTAATCCCTGCAATAGACATTAAAACTACTATAGAATGTGTTGATTGCATCAGGGGCAAGATGACTAATGTTAGAAAGTTAGATGTAAAAAGAAGTAGAGGCTTGCTCGAAGTCATTCACACAGATATTTGTGGACCTTTTCCTGTCAAAACCATTTGTGGGAATACTTATTTTGTGAACTTTATAGATGACTTCTCAAGATTTGGTTATATTTACCTTATAAGTAAAAAGTCTAGTCCTTGAATGTTTCAATTTTTTAAAAGTGAAGTTGAAAAACAGTTAAACCATGTGATTAAAATTGTTAGATCAAATAGAGAAGGTGAATACTTTGGCAAGCATACAAAAGCAGGGCAACAAAAAGGTCAATTTGCTCACTTTTTTGAAAGTCAAGGGATTTTGACTCAATTTACCATTCCTGGTACCTCACAACAGAATGGAGTGGCAGAGCTCTAGCTTTAAAGCTTCATTTGCAAAGCTTCACCTACAAAGCTTCAGTGCAGGGTATACAAATACCGCATCCGAATAACCGCTACTTCGGCCCATACATGGATTCAATTTGAAGTCTCCAGCCAACAAATTCTATTGACCGAAGACTTGGGGGACTACATTATGTACCATATATTGGGCCTCAACTGGGCCTCATGAAAAATACTTGGGGGACTTAGCCCATTATTTATGTATTAAGGAGCGAGCCCTTATTCTATAAAAGGGACTCCTTCAATTTCATTAGAGAGCACCCATTATTCATGTACTGAGGAGCGAGCCCTTATTCTATAAAAGGGATTCCCTCACCTTTATTAGAGAGCAACGCTGCTAGCTGAGCAACCGCCTCGCCGCGAGCATCACTCTTAGCCCATCACTTATGTATTGAGGAGCGAGCCCTTATTCTATAAAAGGGACTCCCTCACCTTCATTAGAGAGCAATGCCGCCAGCTGAGCAACTGTCTCGCCGCGAGCATCACTCCTAACCCATCACTTATGTATTGAGGAGCAAGCCCTTATTTTATAAAAGGGACTCCCTCACCACCATTAGAGAGCATCGCTGCCTACTGAGCAACCGACTCACCGCGAACATCAACTCTAGCCCATCATTTATGTATTGAGGAGCGAGCCCTTATTCTATAAAAGGGACCCCCTCATCTTCAAGCGCCACAAGCCGAGCCAACCAAGGCAATATAAGCCACAAGCCGAGCAGCCTCGCAACATGTGCTACTTATAGTTGAGCATCATTTCACTTTGAGCACCACCTCATATCAAGTATCAGTCCAAGACGACATCTAATTACTTCGGCCCACACATGGATTGAATTTCAAGTCTCCAGCTAAAAGACTCTCTTGACTGAAGACTTGGGGGACTACTGTTTATACCATACTTAGGGCCTCTGTATTTAGATCTCGTATAAATACTCGGGGGACTTAAATATAATTATGTAATAAAGGAAGGGGAAAATATGTAATAAGTGAGGAGCCCTTATTCTAGAAAATGACTCCTCACCCTCACAATTAGGGGATGCCAATTCCTAGGCCCTCTCACCTTCAGAAGCCTCCTCACATCCCCTCTCACATTACAGAGGTTCTCTCCCTCACCTCTCAGATAAATACATATATCAGTGTAGACGTAGCCCAAACATTGGGGTGAACCACGATACATCTTGTGTTATTTACATTTATTGCAGATTCACGGTCGGATTTACGTTGTTCCAAGACCTTCGGTTTTGTGCATCAACAAAATGCATGACTATGTTGTATACTAGTATGAATATGGCTTAAATAAGACTTAGTGATCACTACTATAAATCTTAAAGATTGGTTGTTGTGTTTCATACTCAAGTGGGAGAATGTAAGATTGTGAGTATGAAATATACGATAAAACCAGTCATAGTGGTTAAGATATAAGTCTTGATTAAAGCTATTAGGTTATCCTAAATGTTTTAGGATGACAAAATTGAGAGAAGTTATGATTAATTCTAGAAAAGGATTTAGTGTTAGAACTTTGTAAGGTCTCATAATTCTTTATGGTTTGTATAGTTTGAATCTTAGTCCAATTCTGATAGGGAATTGACAGAGGAGTCCTCTATATATGTGTCTCAAACCACTGCTCTTGTGTTTGTTGGCTTATTTTGTTTTAAGACCTATTGATTAGAAGAGCTGTTATCACCGCAAAATAGGATAAGGTTTTGAGCACAGATGTTGCAATGGCTTCTTCATCAGGATCGAATAATGCAGGTATGTTTTAAGGCTTTGGTTCTTATGTGTGTTCAATAAAAGGTTTATGAGTTGTGATTCAATTGGATGAATTCTTGTTCCTTGGATAAAAAGTTATAATCTTGTTCTTACAACATTCAGATCAAATATAAATGTGCAAGACTCATTCAATTTTGTGAAAACCTTTTGAAAAACCATTCAACTCTTAAAAGTGTGACATCCGCCTTAATTTATAATTTCCAACCACAAAAAGCATTAACAAGTTTCAGAGTGACATTCCAACAGAAATTGCATCTAATTACCTGTCTAAAGAATTTCGGTGACAAAATTCTCTCAAGAGAAAGAATGTACTTCTCGGTTCTTGCTTATTGTATGAATTATTTTGGTTAGTTGTGTTGATAGTTGATTATCTTATAGCGCAAATTGGGATTTAAACCAAAAGTTTGAAGGTTTTAAATAAGTAAATAAAAATAGTGTTGAGTGATGGTTAAGAAACTATAGTAAGGGAAAAGGGGAGATACCTTATTATGGTTTAGAAAATTATGACTAAAGTAGTTATGCTATTAGAAGTTGTGAAATTTTAGAGCTTTAAAGTATTTTTTTTATTGTTAAAAAAAAGTATTTTTTTAATATGTCGAGTTACAATGGCGCTTTAAATTACATTTCTAAAGGTGACAAGGATTATCCCATAATATTGAAAGAGTAGAGAACAAGGATAAGCCCTACAATGCACTACCATGTTAAACAAATCAAAACAATAGTAAGTGCAAAAGAAAGTTTTATGCTTTCCGCAATAAGACTAATCTAAAGAACACATACTAGTTTTCAAGAGGGAAGAAAGATTGGAAATAAATGGTTATTCAAATTCCGTTTTGATAGATTATATACTTCTAAAGTCTATTTCTAGTTTTGTGTTTGTATAAGAAGGAGGTGCAATAACATGGACAAATGTTAAGCAGTCAACAATTATTTTTCTCTACTATGTATGCTTCATTAGTGGGATGTTATGGAACTTTAATGCATGCATATTAGGGAAGGATATACAAGTGTTGATTACATTAACACTACAGATATGACTGCATACATGTTAAATAGAGTTTTTCCTCATTTAGTGTGATACTCACCCTTAAGCTCATTTATCATATTTATATGTTGTCCATGACTTGTTAGTACGTTATGTGAATACCGTTTCATGTATGTGATTATAAAGGTATATGTATCCGCTGTATATGACATCATTGTCTATAGTCCTACGAGCTAATGACATTTAACACTTATAGATATTCTTATCAAGTAGTCTTTCAAAGTTGCACGCATAAGGATATAAATTCTTGATCTTAAAGAGAGCTTCCTGAATAGATGTCACACCCCAAATAGGAGAATGTAAGACTTTTATTGCTCTTACATCTATTTAAGAGTCCTAATTAATTGATTAAGAACACAAAATAGGAAGCAATATTTGATTATCCCAGATTACTTGACAATGAAATAAAGTAATAATAATGCGAATATTTTTCATTAGGTCATGGATTCTGAAGGTGCTAAAGATATGTATTAGGGTTTTCTTTATGGGCAAAAAACCTAAAACTTTCACCTATAAATATAAGGCTTAGGTCCTCACTCTCAACATGTTATTCTAGCACAAAACCCTACATCCATATAAGAGTGCATAAGGCGTGTAAAGAGAGGAAGACTTTGCGTGTTCGTTGTTGCTCGTGGTTCAGTCTTGTTCATATCAATTGCTCTCAAATTAGTATTGTTAGTGTCATATTATACATCAACTTACATCAAACTCTTGGTCTCCCCTCTATTTTATTTTGGATTAATAAGAGTTGGTGAGAGTTTTTCTCTCCCTTTGTGAGAGCTATTTCATTTTCCTTCTTTTCAGATCCAGCTTGTTTTCATTCTGTTTGTCGTTTTGAGAGTCGGTGGCCTGGGCATCAAGCTTCCACATCAGGCTTCCATCCCTATCTTTTCTATTATGTTTTCTTATTTTCTTTAGTTTGTTTATTTTCTTTTCAAACCGCAATCTCAACTTTCAAGCTCCGTTCTTTCAATCCCATCCTTTCCATATTCCCATCAACTTTTTGCATCTACTTCATTTTCTCCCATTTTCTTCCCCACAACCCTCCCTTTCTCTTAATCAAACATTAGATTTTGCATTATTGGATCCGATTTGAGATTTCAATTTTGAGGTCTAGGTCGGCGGTGAAATGCAAGATCTGATTTTTGCTTTAGGAAAGTTTACCATTTTAGGGTTGTTTTGGACATGTAGTGGTTTTTGTGAACCCACCTTGGCTCAGAGGCTACTTCGAACGTGGCTAGCAAGAGACAAGCAATGGGATGTAGATTTATACAAACTAGGGCATCGGAGACTAGAAGAGTGGATGGGTGAGTAGACAACTTCAACTCTGCTTTTAATGATTTCTTATATCTTAATTTTGTTGTATTGGATTAAATAGAATTAATAACAAATAAGCTGGATTAAAGAACGTTTGCCTGAAAAAAGTAAGTCATCGGGTAAGAATTTTACATTTTCCTTTTTTTTATTTAACGCTTACTTGATAAAATCTTGGTCGGGCTAGTATATTTTATCATTTTTTTCGTAAATGGAAATTTGGCTCTGTAAAAAAACTTTTGTCAGGCATGAGTAGTTTGTCGAGCATGGTTGGGAAATGCAGTTTTGTGCAACGAAATGGCCGCCAGAAAGCGAAACAATATTTGACTCGACAGAATTATTTCGTCTAGCAAGGATTTTTTTTGTCTATTCATTTTTTTGTCTTGTTTATGTGTGTTTACATGAGTAGAATGTATTTTTCGGTCACATGGGTACATTTCTATTGCAAAATCTGTCTATTAATTTTTATGTCATGTTTATATACTATTACATGAGTTGAATGTATTTTTTGGTCACTTGGGTTCATTTGTATGTTAGAATTGATCAATGGTTGATTTTCTAACAAAAAAATGGCAAGAGAAAAGATTATTTGGTAAATTAGTACAAATTATGCTCACAATTAAAAAAATAAAATATGAGAAAAGGCTGCAATGACACACCCCGACCCGGAATGTCCATCTAGGCTCCGAATCAAGTTGTGCTAGCCGACACCAGAAGTGTGACGAAACTATACAGTATAATGATGTGGATATGTGGGTAAATTTCAACCTAAAAGTGCTTAAATGTAAGAGTGCGCTTGTGAGCGGGAATGAATCCAATTCACACGTGATGTCAGAGCATAAGTAAAGTACAGTAAAGTAGGATGAGAATTATGCCATCAATAGTATTCCCACAACAACATTTTGCTAGAAATCATCGTCGACACGAAAGCTCTGCCACTAATACTTGGAGGGGCGAAAAATAAGGGTAAGTGGGCTTAAAAATAAAGTTTTCTAAAAACCTTTTCAAAAACATTATAACCCATCGCCGTAAAACAAGTATAGTTTCCAAAATATACATACTACAGATAGTATGAAAATATTTACCGTAGCTTGCAATATCTCAAGAATTTAATACGTCACAAAATTTGTAAATAGGCATATAACTTCAGTAATCACAATATCTCACAAAAATAAACATATCACATCGAGTGCTTATCGATATATGCTGACACACGAGTTCATGCAGAGGTATTCTGACATGAACAAGACTGGATGTAATAATGATTTATGTTGTAGTACTACAATCACGTGAAGATTGGTGCTATGCGCATAACATACGAGTCCTAATTTTCTATAGCAACTGAGGACAGAACTGGCACCTACAATGGATCCAAAGTAAGCATACGGTGCGATGTGAACATACACGTGAAAGACTGACCCTGGCCCTGGCGAGTACTAACACCATTGCAGCACACAATGAGCAGATAACGCAAGTATGATCATGCAATGGTAAATCAATAATTCGATAATTCAAAAACCCTAGTCAATGAAATACTATTCATAATCGTAAATACTATTAAAGCATCCCTTCTAATACGTATACCTGTGCATCTCATATGACGTAGTATAATTGCATGAATTTCATCAATACGGTAATTTTATACACGTTACCCTAATCTAGGTGTAACGTAGAAAATTCTTTTTCAAGTATATTAATGGAAACTAACAAATATATATATATATATATATATATATATAAAAGAAAAGACCCACTCATAGATCATGTTGTCGGGTCGAACCCGCCTCGCAAGCATTGAAGATCCTTGCAATGAGTTTCACCTAGAAATGAAACTATTTATGCAAATATGACGTACTAACGTAATTACGCTTTTTTTTACGAAGTACGACTAATAAAAGAACCATTTTTAAATGGTCAAATTAGGGAAAACCGATGGCTGATTCAGATTCGGCACATCGAGAAACCTGAGGAGGGACTTTGGGTTCCTCCATGCGCCACTAGTAATGGCTCCCTCACGTGCGCCCATACGCCTACGAGTACAACAATAGTTACCTTCCTCGCGAAGGCCTGCATTTTGCAGGTTTTTGGTCCAACATCCAGAGCTCCAAACTAGCTCAAATCTCAGTCATTTTCAGTGATTTAAAAACCAGAGTAAAGCTAGGAATGTAAGGAATCAGTTTATACCTATTGGGAGACTAATCGTGGTCAGTGTTGGCCGAGAATTTGGTCAAAAAGTGGTTGGATGGCCACGGTTTTGCTTTTCCACAAAATTGGGGAAAGCCTCCAATTCATCCATACAATCTCCAAACCCTAGCAAAACAAGTGCAAAACCCTAAGATCTTCCACAAACATTAAAAAGGAATGGAAAGAAAGTGTTCCTGAGGCCTACCTTGGTTGGAATCGACGAGAACTCATCGAAGAAGATGATGAACAGTGGCAATGGCCACTTTGCAATGCAAGCTTTATGTCTGGGTTTGATGTTCACAGTATGAGCTTAACAAAGATGGGGAATAACAAGGTGTGGTGAGGGTTTGATGGTTTGGCTCGCTGGAGCCAACGAGTGATGGTGGTGCAGTGCACGGCTACACTAGTTTTCACAGAAGGCGAGAAAGTTTGAGATGGGGAAGAGTGAAGCAATGGCAGAGAAGGAAAACATGGTGAAGGTGCCGACTCGCCGTCATGGTGAGTGGTGGCTCGCCTCACGGCCAGTCAATGTTGCAGGTAGAGGAGAGATCGAAGGGAGAAAGAGGAGTTGGGAGAGGAGAGAGAGCTGAGAAGGTTAGAGAGAAAGAGGTAAGTTGGTAGCTAGAGAGTAGAGGAAGTGAGGTGAGGGAGATTTGAAAAAAAATGAGATAGTCTCGAGAGATAGGGGACATTGGAGAGAGGTGGAGGAATTGGGCGTGGGCCCCACGTGGTACACAGCCCAAGGCCAAAAAGACAAAATCAAATTATCTCTCGAAAACGTGAAATTACTAAAACTCCCATCACGCTCCATAGTTTGTAAAATCTTCATCGTAACTCCAAATTCAGGTCCGCTTGCACCTATGTGTTCGTACCATCAAGTACTTCGAGAATACAGTAAAATAGTAGCTCATACACGTCACAAAAAGACGGTCAACAAAAGTCAACAATCTCTCCTCTAAGGGCATTTTCATCAATTCACTCTTTTAAAATTAATAAAATCGTAAAATTAGGGACGAGTTGTCACATGAAACCAGTGGGTACATTTAATCATGATTGATGAGTATTCAAATGTGCAGATTTTGTAGGTAATGGGTACAATATTGTTTTCCTTATGCGTCGATTTCCTTAACTACTCTTATTTATATGGATACATATAAAAGAATTGGTACTTTCTAAAAAAAAAAGCAATAATAGAATTATCATAAATTTAGGTGAAGATAAGAATTTTGTATTTCTATGATTACATTGAATTCTGGCAATTAATTATGCCAACTGAAGAAGAAATTAATTATTACCTTGATAAGAATACATTTTTTAATTTCGAAACAAAGAAGGTGACATAGAAATCTATTAATACTAATAATATTGTAGTTCCAGACAATGATATTAGTGGATAGGAACGGCATTCAAAGTCTTCCTAAAGCAAAACCAATTAGGGTAAGAAAATTCTCACATTCCCCTTAAAAGAAATATAATTAAAACAAGATAGAAGACTAGATTTTTTTCCATCAAAATAAAAAAACTAAGTTTTAGGGTGCTAGATTCAATTTCTTCTACCAAAACAGCTATAAAAACAACTGCAATAAGGCAGACATATGATTGAAGAACGATAAAAATGGGCTCCAGCTTGGTTGTTCTATTTGTTTGCTTAGTGTTTTTGCTAGTGTCACTTCCCAGAGTTCTAGCTCAGCAAACATTTTTCGATGTGACTAAATACGGTGGCGTTGGTGATGGAATAACTGATAATGTCAAGGTAATTTTATCATGATTTAAGATAATTATAAGTTTTCATTAAACACTTCGATTTAATAGTATTTGTTTTCATTCGTAAGGAAGATGTCTAAGATTTGACTCCTGTAAAATTCTATATAATTAGCTAGATTATTATTATGTTTACTAAACACTACAATCTAATAATATTCTTCTTTATTTGTTAGTAAGATGTCTGCCGCTTAGATTCTATATAATTAGCTACATTCTTACCCTTTTTTGTTTATAGGCTTTCACCGATGCATGGACTGTAGCTTGCCAAAATAATGGGGGTGGTGTGGTCTTATTCCCACCCGGAGTATACTTGCTGAGCCCGTTGGTTTTGAACGGTAAATGCAAAGGACCAATCGGAGTTCAGATAGAGGGGACTCTACTGGCGCGGGTGGAGAAGGAATATTCGGTTGATATTGACCATTGGATCACCTTCAAATATGTTGACAACTTCGTAATCAACGGTGGTGGTTCGTTGAATGGGCAAGGACCTTCTGCTTGGCCCTATAACGACTGCAAGAAAAATCCACATTGCAAACGACTTCCTGGTGTAAGTTCTTGCATCAATTACTTGCTTAGTTTGTTCGTATATATTATGGGCTTGCATGGGCAATGTCCCATGCACAGACTTAGTCGATCATTTTATGGTTTTCTAATACAAGATTGATGGAAGTATGTATTAGTATACTAAAATACAATAACGTCGTGTGATCATTATTAATCAGTTCACCAAATATTATGTGAAAATTATTATGCGGTACTAAGATGCCATAACATCTCATAATCATTAATTAGTTCACGCGTAATAAGAACATAAATGAGAGAGTTGATATTTTCGTTTTCTAGGATATAGTATCAGATTATGAATAAATATTCATTTATGTCATAACATATGGATATATTATACTTACGCAACAAACTCTAATGACCCACATTCCTCATCATTAAGGGTTCATAAACGTTGTTAGAAAATTTGAGCTTCTTACCATTACTCCTGCTGATTGTTAATGTTTGTGGTTACCCCTTTTTTCAAGAGTTTGAGATTGGATTACGTCACAAATGCAAGGATAAATCACATAACATCGATCAACAGCAAGAACCTCCACATCGGCCTTTTCGCAAGCCACGACATAACAATTAGCAGCATCAACATATCAGCCCCCGCTAACAGCCCCAACACCGACGGAATCCACCTCGGTTTGTCACAAAACATCCAAATCTTGGACGCAGCGATCGCCACCGGCGATGACTGTATAAGCTTCAGCACTGGAACAAACAACGTCAACATCAGCGGCGTTCAATGTGGTCCGGGCCACGGAATAAGCATCGGAAGCCTTGGCAAGATAGTTGGTGACAATGTTTCTTTTGTGGACATAAGAAACTGCACCTTCTTTGGTACTCAAAATGGAGTGAGGATCAAAACATGGGCTCCCTCTGAACCAGGCATTGTGTCACATATTACATTCGAGCAAATTCAAGTCGATCAGGTCGAAAACCCCGTCATCATTGATCAACAATATTGCCCTTCTCGTATTTGCGATCCAAAGGTACGTAATCACTAATAAGTACTTATGTACCAATGAATAAATAGTTAATACGACGTTAGCTACTCACTTGGGCTCTCTTTTCAATATAATCTCACGATCCGAATATTAACCAAGCCTGGATATGGAAATGATGTATGCACACTATTTTTTAGCTCCCACACACCTCATTTCTCTAATCATCAGATTGAACAAATCAAAGGAATTTGTCCAAAAAAAATTGAAGGAGAATTAAGGATCAGAATCAACATTTCATTATCTATTGAAAACACTGTATATGCATATTTGTTGGTAACAATTCGGATCATGGATAGATTGTAATGTGGGCACAAATGAGTAATTTGCCGCTATATTAACTTACCGATTTGTTACTGCTTTAGCGCTACTGTACAATGTGATTCGTGTATAAATGTAGCCCTAAACCATGACTATACGTATCGCTTTCGATGTGTGCAGGTCTACTCCCGAGTTCAAATCGAAGAAGTTCAGTTCAGTAACATTTGGGGGACTTCAATCACACAAAATGTAGTTAATCTTAAATGTAGCAAAACTACACCCTGTCAGAAGATTGGGTTGGATGACATCAACCTAACTTACAGCGGTCGTGAGGGACCGGCTCAATCAACATGTTCAAACGCAGATGTCAGAATTTCTGGCCGGCAAAATCCCCCCGCTTGCACAGGCAAAGATAAAGCTTTAGGATGAACAATGCAGTTTTTCTGTATGCAAGTCTATGTACTTCTTTGTTCAAATAAGGCTTCAAAACAATTAATTTCATATCATCATTTGTAACACAGCATATCAAATGTGAGCCAGTGAAATTGCACCAATATGGTAACTTTCACATTCTGATTACGATTCAATACTGTAAACCGCAAGTGGCCATTTACTACAATGGTGGAAAGGTGTTGAGTTATTACATGACAGCATAGATTTGAATTCCGTCGGTGGCTAATCTAACATCTAATCTAACAAAATATATCTTTTGACCAAAAAAATAAAATAAAAATACCATAAACCCTAGGCCTCGTTTGGTGTCTAGAATAGATTTGGATTGGATACTAAACTATAGATTTGATGAATGTTAAATGAGAAAAAAAGGATTGTCAACTTGTATATCTTGTCCAAGTTAAAAGTAAAAAGATGGACCTTGTCGTACAGAAAACTTATCCCTTTGGTACCATTTTCGTGGAAATTAAACGATAGAAATTTCCTGCCTGATTATCCACCATCTACGCTTCTCCCGAAGATAAACGGAATCCACCTTCTGAACAAAATATTTTATTCAAGATTCATTAAACTTGAAAGTTATCAATCCAAGGTAATTCTATACACCAAACGAGGCCTAAGTTCTTAATATACCCAGCTACTCGTGATAAACCCAGAGTAACATAGTCGAAATTGCACAAAACTAACGGAACATATAAATTAAAACCACATAATAACCATTTGTATAACCTCGACGTGGATGTTTCAAGTTTAACTAATAAAGAAAGTGATTTCCGCACACTCCTTTTTTCTCTTCATGCACACCCATTTTCATTTCTAGTCTTTGAACTCGATGAATCAAAGGAGACTTTGGGCTTCTGTAACAAAATTAATACAAACATGGTGTGCAAACAAAGAAAATGGGTGTGCGGGAAATCATTTCCCTTCAACTAAAACTAATGACTAATGTAAACCAAAAGGCTTTCTGGACAAAATTAATAGCACATGAACGTTTTTCTTTACATAACTAGGAAACCACGTGGACCGTTTGTGGTTTTCTTAAACTCTTAATTAGGCTTTGTGGTACATAATTTGATTACATTCTTACCGGTATAGAAAGTAATAACGGTCACAAGCTGCATATGAAATGACAAGCAGAGGGACAATTAATGAGTGTTTGCCAGGATCCATAAACATGTAGAAAAACATGAACGCATCAAGGCAGGGGTTGGAAGATACTAATCTGTTTGCTTCTTTGGGTACTCCCTAGGGCCAAATATGGTGGATCCGATTCTGACATTGGTGCTGCCCATTTCAATCTGCAAGGATTGAGAATGCCAACGGTTATGAGCAAACTCTGTATAATGTCAAGCTCATTTAAGGTTTAAGAATTGCAGCAGAGCCTTTAATGAACATATGAGAAAGGGAAAATGCATGTCTTAGATGTTTTGGACATCCGTTTGGAAAATATGAGTTGCTGTTTCTTTGAAGTTTAACAGTACAGGGCATTTCATACCGCTTGCTCAAAGTCACCAGACATGCCCATTGACAGCTCACAATGCTCCTCTGCCATAGCAAGTGCCTTGCAGACCTCCGTTCTACACTTTGATAGCATCTACAGAATTACAAGATAACAAATTAATCAACAACAAAAAACACGAGAACGCAAGAAATATCAAAAATAAAAAGTAGATAAATGAAACTAATCGGTAATGGAACTTTCTAACATTAAATGGATATTTTCTTGGTCCTTGTAGCCAAGGTGATACCACTGACCATGTGAAACCAGTACCTCTCTCCTTTAACAAGCAAAGGTCTCAAGTCCAACGAAAATGAGGACTTGGATATGAGAAGGAAAAGGTGTCCTCTAAATTGCTTAGTCTACACATTACCATTTCTACCAAGAGAAAGCAACCTTATACGGGTATGAAATGATTTAATTCTGTTTTAGCTTTTAAGTATATACCAATGGAATTAAAAATATAAGGAAAGAACGAATTTAAAGCACGTGAACTTTTGTTCGTGATACAGAACCTAATTTGAATGCTCTGAGAAAAAAGAGCTAAAGAATGCCTTTGTAAGCAGTTTTCATGCACCCCACTATACAAGTACAAAGATTACCCTGAAGTTTTCTGGAGTGGATGTATAGTCCGGCATCCCTATGGTCATTAAGCCAGAAAACTGTAGATTTGGGCACTGAAACTTGACGTGTTTCGCAAGTTCAACACAACCAGAAGGATGAATTCCAGATTTCGCTGCAAAAAATATTGGAAAAAAACACGAGGTAGGTGAGGTGGGGAAAATTTGAATTTAACCCAGCATTACTGGCAATAGAAATTCAATTCAGTAGCTAGAGAGAGCATGATCTTTCTTTGTGCAAGTGACCAACTATAGAAATATCATGACTGCAGATGGTTTTGGTGGCTGCCTTACAAGCAGCTGCGTAAAAATTAAATTATTGAAGACCACGCAAAGTGTCTTCCAAGTTCCGATTGGTATAGGACATGTTAAGAAATCGAGACATGAGATGATATAATTGCTAAACTTATGTAGTTGTGCTCTTGCAATGAAATATCATGTGTTGCATTTATCTTAGACTAGGAACCAAAAAATAAAAGAGAGTTGTAGGCTTTTATGCAGCTAAAGGGGGGAGCAGGGGCTAAGATTCAAGCAACTTTCGATGCCACTGATTTATATTAATGCTCAACTAAACAACATGACAGATTAGTGCAGGAATGAATGATGATTTTGAATCACTCACATTCTTCTCCACTGGTATTTACTTGGACCAAAACCTTTAAAGGATTTCTTCCAAGGTTTGACACCGCTCGATCAAGATGATTTGCAATCTGCGGATTATAAAGACACATTATCATTTTGAGTTGTAACACAAGCATAGCATTGAAAGATATAAGGTTTTGTGACATTTTTAGTAATTTGGTTATTAGTTAACACAAGTATATGAATTTCCTTAAAAAAAAAACTGCAGCTCGGATCAATTACCTTCAGAAAATAAAACATACACTGGACTTGTTTTTACCTTCTCATTGTCTACACCTTCAACCAAGGCCAAATTCGGGACTCCAGCTGCATGCAGTTAATGTAAATACAATCACATTCTCAAACAGATAGATTAGTCACAAACATTCCTCAAAACAATACACAACGGATTTGAAATTATAATGCGATGTCTGAATTTGTAATGACATGATCCAATGAGTGACCAAAACCATGCATTTCTTATTTTCGCTGATATAACTCAACGAGTCATTTGAAAGTTTAAGCTTTATAATATTAACTTAAAATCTCTGTATCCAAAAAAACCAAAAAATTCAATCACAATATTCAAATTAAGTCAGACAGCCAACTCTCAAAGTTTGAAGATATACGAAATTCGAAATACCAGCAAAGGTAAACAAAGGAATTACGGTTCATTCGTAACAGCTGCAGATTTTGAAAAACATTGCAAGAAAATGCTTTAAGAAAAGCAGAACATCATAGTTTTTTTCGAATTATCAAAAGTTGGGTTCTTTGCAAATTACCAAAAAATCGAAAGCAAAAACAAAATCATACCCAGAAGCAACTTCGCCTTGTTGGTCTGCAAATGCCCAACGAAATGCCACTCTATGTCATCAGGAAGCTGCAGACACACACACGTTCATAACAGTTAAACGCCGCCGTTTGAACTTCGGATAGTTGCAGAGAGTGAGTCAGAGCTACAGAGAGAGAAAAACTCACCTGAGGAGCTTTTTCGAGGATTTCCTGGACGTAATTCTCGCCAAAACAGCGGTGGCCGAAGTTGTACACTTGGCGGATGAGAGAAACGGGCTTGGTCTTCGACACCGCTACCAGCCTCACCGGAGCCGGATCCCGACCCGACCGCTCCGCAGCCTGCCGGACCCGGAGCAAGACTGACCGGAGCGCCGAGACGCCGGCGTTTTCGACAGCGGAAGCAGCCATGCCGAGGGTGCTTCGGAATCTGGACCGTTAAGCTGTGAACAGAAGAAGTTGTCAAGATGTGCGGTGGTGTTGGTGAAATATCAAACTGATAAATGCCAGAACATTTGGGTTTTGTTCTTGCTGCACCTCAATTGTGGTCTCTATTGCACCGAGCAATTTGACAAAAATACCCTTTTGGTAGACATGTTCCACTCTCTACATTTTATGGGATTCACCTTCAATTTTGTTCTCCAAGTACAACGCCCACCCAGCTACCACAAACACCACAACGATGGACCTATAATCCACCCACGCAGCCTTTTGTTTTGCATATAAACAAGGCATAAAGTAGCTAAGTTATTAAACTTGCAATCATATAATTTGGTAAATGAAGATATGGTTGGTGGTGAGGGGTATTGGATTGTCAGCGAATACCTTGCGTAATGCGATTTGATGGAAAGCTAGGTTTCTTGAGTGAGATTTTTACAGAAATTTCATGCTTTTGGGGTAATTTATTTGTTCTACTTTGATTGATCAAGAACTTGTGAAGACAAAGTGGGAGTGGATCTCACCGGGGAAAGACGATTAGGACTAAAGAACAGTAGTTGCGAAAGTTTCAGTCAACAAGGTGGTGCTTAAGTACTTTTATGTCAAAATTTGGTTAGAGTTATCACAAGAAAATAATTGACTAAAATTCTACTCATGGTCCAAATTTAATTTCCCAAATGCGAATGTGTATTTTTATTTACATTTTCTGGTAAAAATGTAAATTTTACATATTTACATTGGAGAAATTTTTAGCCAACCAAAAATTGTTAAATGCCTATTCCCTATTAACCAAAAAGACATTTGATCTTGTTTTAAAAATTTATAGAACTTCACTCTTTTTAGTATAAAATGACCAAGGACAGCCCTAAGGATAGCCGAAGTAGGCACTCGCACCTTCACTCCGAAGGGGCTCCCATTTTTTTTACAATTTGAATTGAATAAAATTATCAATAGAAGTGGGAGCAGCTTTACTCCAAATGGGCTCCTATTTTTATTGATTTCAAATCTTAGAGATATAATTTTTTACAAAAGAATTTTACTATTTTCTTCTTTTTCCTCACCCACATATAACTATAGTTTTACTCTTCCAAATCTAATTAAAATTTAAAAATCAA